CTAAAAGCGCTCGGAAGGGTCGAAATCATTGAATATCATAATTGGATGTGATTCTGATGAGGTTTGGACCGATTGGAGCGGTTATTGTTAGTGGGCCGATTTCCGTTCTTATGCGGACTTCACCTTTTAGCATATTAACTATGATAATCTAAAAAATGATCAAATTTAAGTTACCAATAATCTTTTTTCGATACCAAATAAATATTCTCAATGCAAACAATTTTTTATCTGACAATGATACACCTTTCAAAAGGGCTAAATTATGGGCGATATCATTTTTAACACAATAATCGGTTATGGCACATACAAGACTGAAAAATAAGAACTAAACAAGGTATTATTACAGCTAAGACATACTATTAAAGAAAACCAAAGTAACTAACTTAGCGATTTGATCAAACTCATTTATATGCAATACTTCAAAAACAAATGCATGTGCATCAAACAGATCCATTATCCAGCAACGATTAAAAAACGGTTTGCATTGCTATAAAAAAAAGTATATATCAATGAATGTAACAAAACACAATGAAGAAAAAAATAGTATTACCACAGTTTGAACAAATACATTGGATGGTAAATAAATGCCGTGTAAATGAGCATGATTGATACTCGCATAGCCACAAACAGAATTGAAACCAGCATAAATAAATGGATTAGCACTTTGGCTAACGAAACGCATACCAAATTTTAGACAATCTGTAGTTAATATCTTAAATAAACAGATAATAATATAGCGCATCAAAATCTGCTGAATTTTAATATTCTTCATTAAAGAGAAAGTCACTGATTACAGACAGACTAACGTTACAACCTATAGTCTTCTCCTCTATTCGTTTACACAAAAATATTTAGTAAACTGTTTAACATACCTGTGGTTGATTAGATTGTCTATTTGGTACAAGAAGAACATGATAGGGTCTTATTGGACTATTGTTAATAATCACTAAATGTTCACTATTATTTTTGTCTACTTCGTATATTAAACGAAATAAAATCTTTGTACAAAAAAAACCGTATAACAGATGAGGTTTAAATGCTTTCGAAAGCCTACTTCATCATCATTGATTTTATTATAATTAAAATGATTTTCGTTAAACGGTGTTTGGACGTGATCAAATGGATAGGGTGTACGCCGTTTTTCAAAACGATTAGTATTCAACTAAAAATAAAGAAGTGAAAATGAGGTTTTTCATATAATAGTTATGTACCTACTTCAATAATATAATTCAAATGTCCATCCAAGGTTCTTTGTTCTAGCGCATCCACATGGAACGCAAATAAACCTTGGTCTTTTGCTCTGTTCCATTGTTTCTGTAATAACTCATCAAACTGAATGAAGAGAAGGAATACAAAGTGTTAAAACATTTTTTATTACCTATTTTTTTATCAGATCATACTTGATTTAATTTACAAGTGGTTTTAGGATCAGATGAAAAATTTGCAGCATTTGGATCATACTGAAATGTCAACATATCTAGAAAACAACATCGGATATGTATAATTTGTCAAAGAAAATACTCGTTTAACACTGGAAGAAACCGTTTATAACGAAAAAAGGTATCAAAACAACAGATGTTTGCTAACAAAAAAAGATATTTTTCACGACAAAAATACAATTGATTGATCTGTCTCAATATCTAGTGACGAAGTTGTTGATGATGATTCAATATTCTGTTCATTCGACGCTGCTGATGTTTTCTTCTCAATGCGAAATGCACACAAACGATTCTCATGAATACCATATAGCGTAAGAGCACATCGTAGTCTGTTCATCATCCTAAAGTTAAAACAAAAACATATGAAACAAATAGATATATCTCAAGAACACACTCTGATGTTTGTTTTACTTGAGTTTTGTACGTATAAGAGCCGTACCATATCTGTAAGAGACAATTTCAACTTGAATCGATTGACTTCCGATCTAAGTATAAATAAAGTCAATTGAGAACGATAATAAACTTATCTTCTTAAGTTAAACACATACTTCGCCGTACATGGTAGCAATAGAACGTTCAATAGCATTTTTTAGAATATATTCTTCAACTTCATTGCCATTATCATCGGCAAATTCTCTACAAACATCGAGTACAAGATGAGATACTGTTTCAATCAATATAAAATGACGCTTACTAACAATCGTAAATAAAATTCTACATCATCTTCTAAACGATTTTTAATTTTTCGATTTTTTCTTTTTATTTTTGGATCGAACATCTGAAACACGAAAGTAATTAAAGCAATAAATAAAACATGCAGTGTTTTTAATGATTAGTGAGTTTCGCTTGAGCAAAATTCGATTTCTACTTTGTTTTTAGCAGAGAAAACATGGAAAAAGCAGTGGTAAACTGGGGAAACCCACTTTGCTTAAAATTCCTATTAAAAACACTGCTTGCCGTACAATTAATTATATTCGAATTAAATTAATTAATTAGTTCGATTTTGAGGAGCAAAGAAACTAATACAAATTAGTATGATTCTTTACTTTTCATAATATAATAACGCAAGTATGAATCAGGGTTTCAAATGAGAATCTACCATAAATATGTACATATACGCTTTGTAACTAACCGCAGAGCATACGCTTTGAAATTAAATGCCAAGCGTACAAAGCGTATAAAGTCATCAAATATGCCTATTACAACAAGGACGAAAATAATGTATTTGTTTTTTAAATTGTATTGTAATGTCATTTTTCTATTTAAATTCATAGCATAGTGTAGGGATTCATAGTATGAATCCCTATGAATCCCGCAATGCAAAATTACCTTGGAGAAAAAGATTGCTCAATCAGAAGACGATAAGAGTATTTATTGGTCAAGTCAAAACATTTATAAATCTTGCCTAATGATAAATCCTATCGTCTTCTAACCCAACAATTATAATTCTGCTAACTTCTCTTGATCTTGGCGATTAACATGATTGCCTGGAAAGCGTGTTGACTGTGGCGCCCTTCGGCCTAGCACTTAGTTTTTCCTATATTTTAATCGTATAAATTTGCCAATGATAGCTGCTGCAAGATAAACTATCTTCTCATTCCATTAGAAATCTATCTTTTCATTACGTTACTTTTTCGCTTATCTCCAGACAATAAACTCATACAGTTGTATTTGGTGTCTCCTTTTTAGCGGCGTCTATCTATCCCAACGAAGCATTTGAGGCCTTTTGTACCACCTCAGAGGTTCAGGCCTACAGTGTACCGCCTGGAAAATGACTTTTTACAGCAAAAAAGCGTCTCATCTACTTTTGTTTGCGGCATTGTGCCTCAAACGTCCTCATAGATAGACGCCTCTGCTCTTTTTCTGGTTCCAGATCCCTGCCAACGAATGTGCTGGTGCCGGAATGTATACCTCCAGAATTTTTTATAACTTTTTCTGCTTCTAAGCTTTTCTTCCAAATTTTGCCCTAGAATTTTTTCCGGCACGGCATTGTGTTATTCTGCGCGAACAATAGCAGCCAGATCTTAACTTATTACCATTTTTTGACATTCTTTTCACATATCTATTCCACCTCTATCTAAATAGTGGCGATGGTCTGAAACTCCTATTCCTAGTTGCTCTTCGGCATATTTTTTTATATCGTTCATGTTTATTTTTTTATAATAAAAAAGGCCACAAAAAAATATTCTCCGAGCTTTATTTCCTACACTATAGGCGTTTTGATACTTGGTTATTTTCACTGTTGCTCGGACAAGCTTATAATTCATCCATAAACCAATGAAACTAAAAACAACTAAGATTAGCTCCATTTATTCAGATTACCATTTCTGTCCTTTTCGTTCTATATCTTTTATCCGTTCTATAATTTATAGTGCTTAAGTGACAGTCCAGTAATTCCGGAATTTATACTTAAATTGTACTTAAAAAGTGCACCAACTGTAATTGAAAATATATAAAAAAGAATGACGTTTTAGCTGTGCTAGATTTTGTTAATCGATTTATTGAAAGGTTATTGTTTATGTGAAAGACTATTGTTATTAACAATAATATTTATATAATCTTATGTTGTTCTTAGTTTTTCTGGACTATAAATGATTTATAATGTAAGCTTAAATCTGAATTTTAGTCCTTGAGTACCGGCCGTAAGCAAGAAATCCCCAGTGAATGTACTCGCGCAAATACTTGGGTTAAGTAATGAGGACAGTACTTGTGGATTTTTCCCAGTAACATGTAAGTACTTGGCTGACACAATGCAAGCAAATTTGCTTGAAAAAATTTAGTCAAGTACTTGTTCCATTTATTTTTATTTTATATATATTCTGAAGCTATACTCTACTTTTGTAGAGCAAGTACATGCACGCCTACTAAGCTGGTTCAACTCAGTAGAAATATATAAGTTTATTTTATAAGTGTATAACGATTGATATTCTGGTGTTTATATACAACTAGTCAATGCAAAAGAAAAGGGTGACTGAGTTGTCCAAGTAGTCTTTCAAAAAGGCACTAGTTCAATATCTCTTACTGAAAAATATCAGCCGTGTTCCTAGTCATAATTAACTGGTATTGGTTGTTGCTCTAGAGTTATTTTATTTGTGTCTATCTTTTATTGTTACTTTTATATACTCGTTGCATATTCTAGTCTCTTTTTCTTTTCTTTTGTTTACTTCTGTTATTATCTTTAGTTTTTTTTAATTTTATTTATTTTCTTTTTTTCCCTATCTCTTTTTATTCTGGTCTGAGTCATCGATATTACAAGTCACGGTCCTTTGATGACTCTCGAGTGATTCGAAATAAAATAAATAACTTGTGTTCTTTTTTTTTATTCAACTATTGCTGACGAAATGAATAATCTCCCAGAGTCAGTTATTTGTCTTACTTCTTTAACCTCTTTCAAAATAGCTTTATGTCAGTATCTCTTCCAGTGGAACATTTATCAGTTAAGAATTTATATTTGTTCTTTTTTGTTTACTTCTTTTTATTTTTTATTTTTTTTTTCTAAAATTTGTTCTTTTTTCTACTATTTCTGGTTCTAACCTTAGTTGTCTCATTTATTTTGTTCTTTTTTATTACTCTCTTTGTGTTGTTTGGCTTGAGTCATTTATTACAGGTCAGTGACCTTTGATGGCTCTCTCACTTTTCGTGAATAAAACAGTGAACAGTGAACAGTACTTGGCTGAAGCACGTCAATTAACGACACTTGGCAAGTTTTTGCACAAGTTGCTTACCTTACTTCTCAGGTACTGATCAAGTAATCAAGTACTATACGTGTACCAAGTACATGTACTAGGGTAGCTTGATCATGAATGAAAAAGATTAAATCAGGAAAGAAACAAGCAGTTGTTTACATTATTTAAAATCCATGAAATACCTTTTAAGGTTGGAATATCTTAAACAGAATTTGTTGATGCTTCAAGTCAAAAGAAGACTTAGATAATAAGTGTCTAGTTAGCTCGAGTAGTTGAATTGAAGGAAACAGCAATAATTCTGTAGAGAAAATCTGGTGAGCGATTTGAGCTGCGCTTGGTTTATTTATACTAGACATACAGCGTTAAGAGCAATGTGGTACTATGTTGACACTAGCATTTTGCAACTATGTTTCGCGTCTAATGTACCTCAACCAATTATGGCTTGTTTCCTTCCTTCCAAACAAGTTGCAGCCATATTCAGAAACGAAGGTATGGTGACACGCTCTTCTGGTATAAAATTATTTTATCGATAGTTCTTCTCAAAATCAATTCAAGTTTCAGGAAGAAATAATCATCGTTTTCCACCCAAAAAATGATTTAGATATTTGAGTAAAATTGTTTTAAATATGTAATTCGAATGACTAAAGGAATGACCAATCCAAATTCAGTGAAAGAAAAGCAATCAGTTAATGAAAAACATCCTTCTCTGACGAGAAAAGTTCAGCTTGAAGAATTTTAGATTGATGAATCCTTATGTGAATGTTGCATTTTTTAGCAGACAAAAGTAAAACGCTATTTTCAGCAGATAAAGTGTGGGATGCACATTTTGTTGAAACATTTTAGATGATGACCAGATTTTCTCTGCAGAATTATTGCTGTTTCCTTCAACTCAACTACTCGAGCTAACTAGACACTTATCATCTAAATGTTCTTTTGACTTGAAGCATCAACAAATTCTGTTTAAGATAATCCAACCATAAAAGGTATTTCATGGATGTTAAATAATGTAAACAACTGCTTGTTTCTTTCTTGATTCAATCTTTTTCATTTGTGATCAAGGCTATCTTGCTTACGGTACTGGAGGACTAAAAGACAGATCTAAGCTTATAATTCATTATTTGGATTCTTGCATTTGACGTATTTACCGAAGTAGCGCTCATTGTCGAAAATTCTCAAGGAATCTCCTAGAATTCTTGTTATGCATGTGAGTCTTAATAAAATCCTGTCTATTAGAGGTATTTACCATTTTACTTTGCCGAGTCATAGTTTATAAAAACTCCCGATTCTCTGATAAAATTTTCAAGGTTCTTGTCACAAATATCCACTGGTAAGAACTATTCGTCTTCGAAATAAATGTTACCTACCCTATTCTTCAATAGTGTCTCTGCAGAAGCGAACTGTTCTAATGAAAGTAAATGCCAGAACGGTAATGAAGAAAAAATACTAAATAATTATGTTGAGTGCTGATGAACGTATGAGACGAAAACAAACTGTAAAATCACATTACATTTAATATCTTATTTTCGTGATGATTATCAAGGCCATTGATTCTTGATTTTGAAATTCTGCTCTCATAGTGTTGAAACTGTTTAAAAACTAGTGCAAGATTATTAAAAGTAAATGTAATCGAAGATCTAAAACATTTCCTTGAGTGCTTTGTTTCTGCTCCGCTTGAAAATGCTAATATGCCAACAGCCCTACATTATCTATTACTACGTTCTACTCTTGATCAATATGACAAAAATTTAATCTTTAAAACTGTCTGTTATTTTAATGTTGACACTAACATATTTAAGTAACTTCTCGTACATTTTTGAGAACTATTGCTTTCTTACTTGCAACATTTTTAACAATTAATTCGCAAATTAATTAACGATTCCGGTGATTTTTCTTTTTTTTAAAATCGTCAATTAATTGTGATTAATTGTTGATTTTAAGCGATTAAATGGTTATCGTTATTCACCGTTTTATTTTGCAGTACAATGTATATAAGAAATACGATTTCAACGAGAAATACACTTCTATTTAGACCATCTTTTTATTTTAGAGTAAAACAGAGTTGTCAACAGTCTTCTTTATGGTCCCTCGCTTTAAGCCGAGGAACCCACTGAACAGCTGGTATCAGGGTAATGTCTAAAATCGACTCGTCGTAAAGGCTCCGACTTCAGCTGGTGCTAAGCCCATTACTGGGTGACGGACATGTCATTATACATAATAAATAATGAAAAAATAGAAAAAATATCCATTTCCTAAAATGGATTCGAACCTAGTACCTAGAAAAAAATCATCAATTAATCGCGATTAAGCGCATGTTTAATCGTACGGTTTTTCACGATTAATTGCTGATTTTTAGTACATGGGAGGACACGATCAGTTGGTAAACATTTTAGAACATGTCGAATTTGTCAAAAAACTATATAACCATCAAATAAGCCTAGATGAGTTAACGAAACGAATATTGACCGATATTAAATCAGTATACATCAATTGTATGGCATTAGGACAGTATATGCAATTAACAAGCAGACACTTAAAAAGTGAAAGACTAGAAAAAATCAGTGTTGAAAAAAATACGGAGAACCAGAGATGGGCTAGTATAAGTATTCAAAAGTTGAACTCGAATATAAATGAAAGGTTTCTAAGATTTAGAAGAAAAAAAATATGGAAAAGAGAAGAACGCCTTGGTTTGATCAGCTCTATTATTCTTCGTGTCTCATATGAACGTTAAGGGGCATATTGGAGAATTAACCCTTCCTCTCTCATATAGTGCTTATTCGGCGCAGACTAATATTATATTTTTAAAGTTAACTACCCGAAATCATTAATCAGTCATTAATCAAAATCAAGTCCAAATATATTAAATTTTGTATTAGAGTAATATTCGAGTTTACAATTAGTACTCGCTCATTTCTTTTTGTAATTTTATAACTATTTTCATATTTGTTTTGATTTAAAGAAGAACAATATAACGAATACTCCTAGATTTGAAGGTTTTTTATCACTGTTTTAGTGCATTGAGATCGTTTACACAAAAGTTATATATAGATGCAGTGAAGATTTTTGTAGTTTAGATGCCTACCTCGTTTGTTATAAGCTTATTTCTCCTTTTTTAGATGTTTATGAAAATCTGTCGTTTATGTAATTTAAATTTGATCAAATTATCTCTGCGCTATCAAAGTCATGAATCATTCACAACAGCTGGAGCAGCACAGAGATTGGTGTCCAATCCGACAGGTGAACTTCTAAAACCTTATCCGACATTCATGGAACGTCAAGTAGAATTAGTCATAAATACCAGTACTAGAGATGACGTATTAACAATTGACAAAGAGGAAAAAATTCAAATTCAAAAACCTCAAACTTTAATGACAGCTAAAGTAAATTATATCGATACAAATCCATTGGGTGATAAAAATCAAGATATTGTACTTATCGTTCATGGTTATCCGGGTAGTTATAGTACAACATTAAATCTTGTTGAAGAATTTCAGCGAAGAAATTATCGAGTTATTGCACCAGATATGCCATGTAAAGTTTTGTTAGGTATATTCTGTTTATGTCACATACTTTTCTCTTGTTGTAGTTTGTGGTAAAACAGTATTACCTATGTTAAATATGTTTGTTTGGTCAAACAACATTTGGCAACGTGCTCGAATTATAGGTGAATTAATGAAATATATAATGGAAACTAAATTGAGGTAAAATTATAGTTCATTAATATCTATGATAGACATGGTTAGTTTAGGAAATCTAGTCATTTTCCTTTTTTTTAAGACCTGTTCATTGTGTGATTGGTTTTAATGAAAATGCTTTTTCTTTAATGTCAATGATTGATCAATATAAAATGTTAAATCCTAAATCATTAATTATGATTGATCCAGCGCCAAGAAAACTTCTTCGGTAGGTGATTAAGGTGAGTGTTGTTCATAAGTTATCTACTTTACGTAATTACTACTCAACTACTTCGTTTCTCCATTTCAGTTTTGTTCCACTCTCAAAATTCGTTTTCGATTTTATCCGTTTACCACTTCATTGGCCTGTAGCTCGTCACATATTACGATTTCTTGGTTATAAAGAATTATTAACTCATACACAACGTGATATAGCTGGTGCGTTACGAATCTGGTTAACTGAAATACCAAAACAAGTATGTTTTACATTTTTATTCGTTCTCTTATTGATAGATTTGCCTTTTTTTTCTTCTGTTAGTATGAAGATTATTCTCACGCTTTATGGTTATCAAGAACAAAAACAATGATTATATCATCGAGTGAAGATAACTATATAGATAGAAATATACTCCAAAAAACATTAGAAGAATTGAACGCATCAGAGTATAATAAAAGTAAGTAAGATGCCGAAAATTCAAAACTTAAGAAAAATTTAGTTTTGCGCTATTTATACATGATTGGATAGAACTCGTCGAGCTGAACAAGAATATGTATGTTTTAACCTTTCGAAGCAAACTTTTAATGTCGAAAGTTTAAAAAAACTGAAAATTTTAATTTTTAAAAAATGGCTTATTTTTAAAAACGATCGTAAAACTCGAACACAATGTGTTTGGGAACCTTAGAAGTTTTTTATTCTTGTTTTCCATAAAAAGTGAGTCTGAAAAATAGTGTTTCGATACTGTTCAAGTATGATATGATCTAACAACTTTTAGTTTTTCACCAATTCTCCAAAAATCCTGAGAGACACATCAATCAATTCAGCTTTTGATGCTGATTCCAAATATGACATTGGTTTCCAAAAGAAATGGAAGTTCGCTGCTGACAACTGCAAAATACAGGTGAATTTCCTTGTTTTGTGCTATCTGTTTCAAAAAAATTTATTTTCTCCGCAACGGAACAATATTTTCCAAAATCGATGCGTAACTTTTTTCATGCTATTATGATGAGTAGGATGATATAAAAATATTGGCTTCATCTCCTATCTAGAGAGACTTGAAGCTTTTTGCGTCAACATGAACGGAATTTTGGCTATTGGTGAAAAACTAAAACTTTTTAGATCATATCATACTTGAATAGTATCGAAACACTATTTTTCAGATTTAGTTTTTTACGGAGAACAAGAATAAGAAGCTCCCAAAGTTCCCAAACACATTGTGTTCAAGTTTTATGTTGGTTTTTCAAAATTAAGCTATTTTTTAAAATTTTAAAATTTTCAGATTTTCACATTTTCGACATTAAAATTTTGATTCAAAAGGTTAAAATACACATATCCGATTCAGCTCGTCGGGCTCTATCCAGCTATGTATAAATATCGAAAAAATAAAAAGTACTCCTCTTTTGAATTTCCTTAACCTTACCCGATAATGTTTTCGAGACTCGATCACCAAAAGATGCTTTCAATGGCCTGTATCGTCCAGACCTGTGCTCAAAAGAAGGAAAAATTGAGAAAAACAAAACTGATTATTGCGCTGTTTTTTCTAAAAATGAAAATCGTAGTTAAGTTGCTAAACATGAAAGTTATCATATTGTGCCATTTTTTTTCTCATTTCGCAAATAAACTATTCGGCATCTGGCGAATAAGAACAGATGTGAAAGAAAAAAATCCATTTTTTTGCATTGGCAGCAGATTTCTTTTCTTACATCTTTTCAAATTTCTTACCTTGTTGCTGTGATATTCCCTAAGACGTATGTTTTTAGTTGAGTAAAAACTAGCAAATATTTGTCTTTGTTCATATTTTTCATGTTTGCTTTGGATTCGAGTTAACCCGAGAGTTCTTTTATTCGCTATCTCACTTGCACCAAAATTTTTTAAAAGATTTTATTAAAAGAAAAAATAATGGAAATTCTCGTGCATCCCTTCGCCTCACATAGACATATTAGTAAACAAGATTCTGATGAACGCCTAAGTCAACTAAGAAAAACTTTTGTACATGTGCTTTTTTGTAATTTTTTCAGTTTAAAGCCAATCTAAGTTCCACACTACCATCTGCATGTGAATTATCTTTGGAAAATTGTTCAGACGAATCAGTATTGTAGTAATTGTCTTTTCTGTCCTTTTTCTGCTTTTTTCATTGGCTATTTGTATTTATTATACTTTTCCTTCATAAAATACGCAGTCTTTTAATCCAAGCGAGATATCATCATCGGGAGCGGGGGATCGACGTATTTATGTACAAAACACTGTCTATTCTTTCGATGATGATACTCATTGTGCATTGTGAAACAAACGGTTGATTTTGTTTTCTTATTTATATTCTGGAAACTTCCTATTTTGTTCGTGTTCTGGTTTTTCGTTTTTACTGTTTGGTCAGTGTCTTCATGTCATTTTGTTTCCTTTCTTAAAGTAAAAGTAAAGTATGTTCTTATTATCTTCTTTAACGAAACTACTTTCGGTTTCTGTTTTTCTAGTATGGTACGTCTTGTGATCGAGGTTAGAATCTGGTGGATCGACAATAGGTACCCGAGGAAGACTTTTTGTTTGGAATACTTATCGCATATCCAAAACACGTAGAAGTACTTTAGTTTGGCTCTGTTGTGCACAGTAATACTGATTGCGCAGTTTGGCTGTTCTATCAGGTTTGTTTGATCTCTTTAACATCTCAAGTATGTTTTCAGAAACAGTTTTCTTCATTTTGATGCACTTAATACATTATTAAGAAAAATTTGTTTTATTTTTCTATTTCAGATAAATGCTTTTGGTTACAAGTAGTTACAACAACAAGTTTGATACAAATAGTACAAATAGTAGTTATAATTAGTTTTGATATATACTTTGATGCTACCTCAATTAATTTGACAACATATGGTTGTTACAAAAGATAAACAAATCACATTAAGAACTCCAATGGCCTACATTCAAAACTATGATTCTGCTCGGTCATACGTATAGCTAGAAAACGAGGGGACTTTTTTGTCGATCACACAAAAATATTTCAAGTTTTCCTGAACCGTTCACTCAAAAACGTTACGTCTTCTTTTCTTAAAATAACGTTGACCTTAGCTATGTATTCCCTTCGCGAAAAAATAGTATTTAAACAGGGGAAAATGCTAATTTAAGCCGGCGATGATCTTTTCTACATTTACATATATCTTTATTAGTTTGAACCACAAATACGTTACTTTCTGTCCCAGTGAACTTCCTAATATGATAATCTAGCGCACTACATTTTGAGACGAAACTTGTCGGATCAAACAGAAGGCACATTTTAAAGCTAAGTATGGCGACATCAGCTACTCTTTCTCATCTAAATGTAAAAGATTTCAGCGGAAGTTGTTCGTCTTGGTCTCCTGAAACGAACCAAGAAATTGTTTATCTTAAAATAACAGTAGCTAATGGTCCTCGATTTCAAGGTTACCCAAACATTCTTATTTCAATCCTCACTAAAAAAAAGACAAAATCCGAGATCTTTCAAAGATCTTTTCAATACACCCCCTGCACTTTCGCCAATAGGACATTCGCCAATTGGCCAAAGTACAGGAGGTATATTGGCGAAAGTACAGTGGACTTTCGTCAGCTGTCACGAAATAATATTAACGTAGGATACATGTGAGGAGTGAAGCTAATGTTGTTAGAATATATATACCATAGCTTACACTTAGGATATATTCGCATATTCGCGAGCCATGTTTTTAATGAGAAAAAAGCGAGATTAATGTGAAGAAAATACAAGTAAAGCGTAACCTAATGTTCATCTGACGATGCACCTGATGAATCTGATTTTGAAACATTATTCTTGTTTTTCTTTCCTTTCCTTCCACGACAAACAGGTTCGCCAACAAGATGAGCAAGAGACTTGATTGTATCAGCTAATGATCTTGTTTTTGACGTTAACGAATGCAACAGGTTTTCAATTTGTTTAGTTTTACGAGCTGCTTTGCGCGTCGACTTTTTTGGTTGAACAGACGAGAAACCTAATCCAGTCTGAACCATTCTATGAGATACGACACTTTCTTCTTGCTTTACGCATTGAATGAATCTCCACATGTTTGGATGTGGCTGAATAACACGTGTAAAAAAACGTCTATTTTGTGCTGAAATATAAAAGACAAGGCATTAAACATTTATTCTCCGATACTTCCGTTAAAGCTATTGCAGAACGTTATTTTACCTTCAGCGTGATTGTTTGTTCTCCATGTACTTTTATTAACAGACCATGTTGAAGGTTTAAAAACATTCAACCATTCATTTTCAAAGTAAGAAACAAATGTGTCTAACTGTTTTGTGTGAGACGAAGTTGTTACTCTTTGTTTCAGAATTTCATATCCTTCATGAACACGATCAATGGGTAGTAAAGCTAAACCCATAAAACCACTTAATAATTCTCTTAATTCAGTATCATCGTCGTACAACTTCATCATACCAAGCTGTAAACCAGATTCTAAAAAATGAGGAAAGATTATGAAAAAACAACTTGTTTCATAATCACCCCCTAAAGGCTGAAATGGCAGAAACTATGATCGCACTATAATAAGCCCTATGATGATCTGTGAAAGTTACACAAAGCTGAAGTTTTCTGGTATATGATCGTTAAATGGAAATTTCTGATGAAGAATACGAAATAATATATTGAGCAGAAATCACGAACACACAATTACCATCATTTTTCGATGATAGTCAACAAGTTCACTTAGTTAGGAGTAGTAGAGCAGTGAGTGTATCGTGCTGATTCGCTAGGCTGCAGTCCTATTCGATATCTGCATTATGTTACACCTCTACTATGTATTATACGAGAGTTTTTTACGCATCTTCGGATTTAGTGGTTAAAATGGACTTAACTTTTAAATATTCCCGTCTAAAACAATGTTTTTCTTATATTTAGTGATAATGAAAAACTAAGCTGTTTTTCTATAAATAAATTTCGATAGATGAATGAAGTTGTTGTCCGTAAGATAAGTTCTCCTTTTCCCACTAAAACTTTTCCTAAAAACTGTTTTTATGCTCGTTCTGACGTATTTCAACCAGAGGAAAAACATTTTTATTGTAATTGATCAGATAATAGGAGTAGTGATTTATTTCTAGTCATCCTTACTCGATCTAGTCTAGCTCATCTACATTCAACCAAGCGTAAAGTGACACAGTTTATTAACACACAACAGCATTTCTTCTACAAAGAACAATTTTAGTATTATAATAACATTAATATTTTCTGTTTAGATTGAGCTATGAACGAGCTGATGCATATTTTGATGTTCATGCTGTAAATGGTGATGGCACTGTAGAAAATTTTATTGGAATTGAGCAAGTGAGCGAGCACTAACTCAGACAAAGTACCACATTTGTCAGAAAAGGAGTGACATGCATAACAACGGTTATACTTATGGAAGGATTTACAATCCGTACATAACATCGCACTATGATGATGATAAAGGCTTTTAGCTCATTTTACGTCACCTGAATTAGTAACATAGAATAATTAAGACTTTCGGTAAATTCATTTGTGCCACTAGATTTCTAAGATCGGTTGTTTGGGGCACTGTGTTAGTGTTAACAACAAATTGTTCTAACGGCAGCTCGTTTTCCCGTCTAATGATGTTCTCTTTTCTATGAATGATACTAAGTCCGAGTCTCAGGCCAACATTTTCTACGTCGAATGGATTTGTTCACACTACGGCATTCGTCAGACACAAGGGTGTCGTTACTATTCAATCGTCCCGTTGTTGCAAAATTGGAGAAACAATCTACACGTGCATAAAACAAAATGGGCCGTTGAAAGTGATTTTTGATCTTTTAAAGTCTGTGTTCTCCGATGATGCAGTTTCCAGACAAACAGTTGAAAACTGACTGAAAAATTAGTCTCTCATTTGCAGCCGACATCTCTATTAAGATGTTTTTTTGCAATAAAAGATTTATACTTCATCAATATTTTTCTGCAAAACCTGAGCTTTGTAGTCCGTAAACCGAGTGAGAATTTCGGAAATGCAATTTTTACTCTTAGTATCACTGATATAACTGGTAGGAGAAAATAGTACAACGACAGTGTGCATTATTTTTGAATCAATTTTTCAAGAGAACATCTATTATGGATGTTATTATTACAAAATTCGATCCTCTTTATTCCGTACCTTTCGGTTCGTGGATATCATTTATCTCCAACTACAACAGTACATTTCTTTCTTTTCTTCGAAATCGATTCAAGGGAACTCAGGAATGCATTATGTATAGTACTAAAACTCTGTCTCCAAAACAAAGAAAGGTTAAATAGTTTTCAAAGCCTTCTTAGTGTATCTTCTTCACGATTCATTAAACGGCAAAAATTGTTTTGCAATCATTAGTGACTTCAGCTATGGGATGTTTCTCAACTTTTTGCGTTTTTGGATTTTATCTGATAGCCTATTGTGCGTGGTTCTTTAGTGCATTTGTCGCGTAGTGAAGGAACAAGGTAAGTGGAGTGACAAAGCAATACTTGTCACTCAAAATAACTAAATCAACCATTCACTGTGATAATTTTCACTTCATAGTGTACTCTTATAATCAAGCCTCAACAGATAAATGATTTTTGTCTGTTGCTGTTGAATTTTTTTTTTCATTCACTTTCCCCGATAATTTCTGACGCTCTGAACGTGATTAATCCGACTAACCTTTTTATCTTTAGCCGATAACAGAATTCGCCTCTGTCTCCATACATATTTGAGGTCGTTTGTGTGAATATCTTTTTATCGATCATTTGATTTGCTCGCATGAATGAGTTATGCTGGGAATAAAAGCCAATTGTTTCAAAGAAATCAGTAGCAACAAAAAACTTTGTTAGTAAAAAACCTTAAAACTTTAGTCAGCTGGAGCTACCGACGGTTTGTTACAGTGTGCTTTATCTCTCGAACGTTTTATTTACTATCGATATATTATTTCGTTTCATAAAGATCGCATTCTTCTAGTTTTATTTGTGTCAGATGACCCGTCGTTAGCCAGTCCTCTCGTTTATCGACACTTTTAACACGAAAGACGGAAAAAGGAATTATCATTACTTCCTGCTCTTGTTTATATTCTGATAGGTCTTCGACTGCAAGTCCTGTTCGTTTGTTTTTGATTATGTACGCACACATAGCTGGAAATTTAACAAGTATGCCAAGCTGATTTGCACGCATTTCACCCCCAGAAGCAAATTTTTTCGCAATTTCGTAATCTTTCGTTGCAGACAGGAACGACTTTGTCATAATACGAGATCCAACCTCATACTCAGCCAGATCTTCATCGGTAACTTTCATACCTCGATATACTTCTCCGTAGTAGCTATATTTTTCAAAGGTAGGATGATGGGCTACAATACCAACAAGATAACGACGTTCGTAGAGTCCAGTCGTGGATCCACCAGCCAAATGTACTATCTCATGCAATGAGAAATCGTTCTCTGATGAAAATACAACATCCACACGATTATAACTATTTAACAACGGCAGAAGTTTCTCGATAAACAACTGTTTTGCATATTCTTCGTATGTATCAAGTCTACGTTGTTCATCTAAAGCGAAAATAGTTGGTTGGACAAACAGTTCTAAAACAACGTAATAACCAAAAGTTCATCTAAATAGTACAGACACAACGATGTATGCGTCTGTAGAAGGAGAGAAAGAAAGAAACAGAGATGACAAGTGGTCAAAGTTTCATGCATGTCCGAAATATATAATCTTTTTTCAGATTGTATATATTAGTTAAAAAGCCATATTAAACTATGGTAAATTTGATAGAAAAGGTACTTTTGTAGATGTCCGATTATTGCTCTCGTTTTTCTTTTTTAGTCATTGCAAGTGTTCAAAAGAATACACACGTTTGGTAAGTTAAATTGATTTCCGTTAATTATATCTTAGTATATCTTTCCATTTAGATATTTATTCCATATGGTGTTATTTGTATGCACACATAGTTTAGAATTGAACAAATTGAATTATTTATACTTAACGACTCATACTAAAGCTCAACGGGATATGTTGCTTTTTACTGGTAGTACTTTTGTGAAGGTATGTCGTTGTTGTTGTTTTTAGAATAATTTTTCCTTCTCTAGTTCAAGATTGTACCAGATCTACACCCTTTCATAAGTGCGATAGGTGCTCGTACAATGAATTATATATTTACTCATAAAACTATTACAAAAATGTTTATAAGATGAAGATGTGTGTATGAAGAAACAATACTGTTCGTTTGTTATGGTGTTATGAATGATCAATATTTTCTTTAGGTGCAACGTAGTTTAATATCTGTTTTACAACTAAGAAAATGACTTTCGTTTAAACGTTAGATTAATGGATTTTTTTCTTTTTTTTCAAGATTGTTGCAGATGCTGTTGCTTTGTGCACGAATTAGCTCAATCATCAGCACAAATAAAAGTATTTGATTTAAATTGTTCAGTGGCATGAGGATCAAGCATTTATACATGATAGAATTAGAAAAACAAAAAATGAGGAATAAGATCAAAGCAGAAGCTTTCGAAAGCTCGAATAATAAGATCAAAGTGTGTGAATTTTGCTAAAATTCTATTACTATGATCTTTATAGCAGTACTGTACTCTCTCCTCTTTCGTATTACAGTAGTGATTTATCCCCCTGGTTTCTTTTCATTTAAATAGGTTGAGTTTATTCACCCACATAAGGAAAGGTGATTAACAGAATTCAGCTAGCTATTTGTCTTCTCGACATCGGTATTTTCTTCATATTCTTTAATCGTCGCTTTAATTCCTTGAAGCCATTTATGATATTGAATGACAGTATGATGATCAGCTGGAAGAGTTGCAGATCGACTTGTGTACGCAATTTTCATATGTTGTAACGCTTCTTCCAATTTCTCTTGATAATAGAGTGCTCTGGCAAGAGTAAAACGATGTAGTATCAGATCTTCATGATCGGCTGGAAGTGACCTGACTTCATCTTCGACCCTTCTTTTCAAAAATTCCTCGGCACGTGTGTAGTCTTCGTCTGAATAACTATGTTGAGCTTCCAGTTCATCACGCCACTGTTGGCTCTCTATCACACGATGATGATCGATTGGGAAAACAAGTGAGTTTATTTTGCATGCCATTCTTATATGCTCTACAGCTTCAATCAACTTCTCTTGTCGGAAGAATGCTTTTGACAGGTTATGATATGTAACAGCAAATTCTGGATGATTCTCTGGTAGAGTATTAATTTGTAACTGAAGCGTTTTATTATAGTAAAAAACGGCTTCATCGTATTGCTCCTGGTCAGAATAAAGAGTAGCAATGTTATTGTATACAGCTGCAATGTTAGGATGATTAGCCGGTAAATATTTCAGCCAGATTGCTAGAGCTGCTTTATACATCGGGAGCGCTTTCTCAAACTGATGTTCTTCGCGGAATGCTTCGCCAAATTTATTGTAACAATTTGCAAGATGCATTTGATCTATATTGGGACTACTCAATACAATCTGCAGCGCCTTGCTTTGACACATATCTGCCTTTTCGTACTGACCGTCTTCGTCATAGAGACTGGCCAAGTTAGCGTACGGTGCTACGAGAGTAACTACGGCGGTCTCAGATTGCAACTCAATTGATTTCTCATAGTATTCAATTGCTTTCACTTTATCTCCGGTCTGATGATAAATGAGACCAAGTGCATTGTGTACGCCAGCAAGACTCTTCCAGTTTTTCGTAATACATTCATCTTTCAGCAGTCGAATACAAATTTGTTCAGCTCTCTTATAATCTCCCATTTCCAATAACAATCTGGCCAAACTGTACAAAGGACTGACAACAAAGATTTTCTCTGCCATATACTCTGTTAGTTGTCGCAATTCGTTGTCTTCCTCACCGGTTAACTTCAGTTTTACAATCCAGAGGCCAGGTTTACTTTCACTAAGAGCTTCAATTCGGAATATAGCGCCCATACTAAACAAAATTTCTTTTTCAGTTTCACCAAATGCACTGTTCAAGGAAATATCTGCGTAGGGAAATTTATTCACACTTCTGTCAATGTCAATTTGAAACAGAACACTTTGTTCCTGTTCACATCTACTTCCATCCCCAGCATATCGACTTGCGCAGTCTCTATCTAGAGTTGTCGAAAGAAAACCGCTGACGGAGAAGAAACCACCGACATTGTTTCGAATTCTTTTATCGAATTCTTTATTTTTCATTAATTGACCTCGATATACAGTATTCAGGTTTGTAGCCGGTTGTGAGTCGGTGTATAATTGCTGTAACTGTAAGTGGAGATCTTTAATGAAGTATCGAATTGAATAGAGTGTATCGATGTCTTGTTCTAGCAGAGCTTTGTTCAACATTCGATACAAAAATGTATCTCGTGTATACCAAAAGACAGTATTGTCTGCCTCGTACCACTACTCAAATTCTTCGATGTAGTTCAGGTCTGTATCATTATCTACGTATTTCACGCGACAGAAGTTAACCATTTCCTCGACGCTTGACTCTAGGTCAACTAAAATTTGTCTCAAAAGAGAGGCGTATAGAAACTGTGCTTCTTGTCTCTTCATTGTGGTCGATATCGAAGGCAACGGAATTGACAGATCTTTTGCTGGTGAAGCAATGTATGCGTGTAGATCAATTGTATTGAGTGCTAATTCATCACCTGATTTATTAAGCCGCTGTCGTCGTACTTTCGGTAGATTCTTCAGCTGACTGCATAATGATGGGAGATTGACGTAAACCTGAGTAGGCTTAGTAGGTGAATAGTAAGGGAGGAGTATTTCACTGTCATCTGCGATCGTTGTGGAGTAGAGAACAGAAATTAACGTAATTTGAGAAAGTTGATCACAAACTTGTAAAAGCGTTTGGAGAGAGACGGAAGTGTCAGTTGAAATAATAAGAAGAACATTTGTGGTGTCATTATCTTCATTTTTAAGATTTGTAATGTAATCAATGCATATGTCTGTATCTTGAAATGCATTTAAATATGGAGCAGATTTACAGAGATGAAGAAATATTGACTGAGAAGCTGTTCTGTCGTTAGTTTGGTTAAGCCAAATGACAGTGAGCGCTTTTTCATCTGACATTTTCACCGATTTTCGACTGTTATATAGCTTGCTAAGTTACAATGTTCAATGGAAATGATGTGGCACAATAATAACGGTTTTTTCCAACTAAACAGAGAGAACGCCAGTGCAAATATTCTTAATCATGTGTATTTTGTTTTTTGATGAATCGTTAAAAACAAAATAAATTCCTTCTTTCTTTCATCCTTTTGTAAAGTAATAAAGCGGTAACAGTAGTTACCTTTTAAAAGGGCACTTTAATGTACTGTGAAAGTGAAAGAGAAAGAGTGAAAGAACAAGGAAAAAAAAGAACCGTGGATTTTTTCCTTTGACGTAGTTTAGAAATGAAAACAAGAGAAAAATTCAGCCTAGCATACAAGTAGCGTTCATCATTCTGATTCACTTATCCCTTGACTGTACGTTCTGCTTCTTTTAAATTAATTTTAAATAAGAATCTTTTTATAAAATATTTTTAATATTCGTATAATTAAGTTTTGTGTTCCTAATTATCTGCTTCTTCTGCTCTCAAAATGTACCAAATCGTTTGCAGTAGTTAGTCGGACTCTTAGAATCAGCGACAGTAAACTTGCCGATGTATGCATGTCATAACGGAATGATGACTTCACAAACCATACGTGTACAAATGTATCATATATAGAACTGAATGACTTAAGTACAAGAACGACTTGGTTGTGTTTGGGATGATGCAATCGAATTGCTGTATGACAATAAAAATACATCTGGAAATGGATCAACTTTGAAATATTTAAAAAACTGTTTATAAATTCTGAAAATGAAATAGACGTTGTAGTAGATAGTAAAGGCCCTGGTATCCTTGAAGACGAGATAGAAACAGCAATAAGGCAAATGAAAGATAAGAAGGCAGAAGGAATCGACGAAATACCAGCTGAATTATTGAAGAAACTAGATGGTAGCGCGAAGAAAGAGTTGATAAAAATTTGCCAGGAGATGTATGAGAAAGGAGAATGGCCAAACGATTTCACCAAATCAATAATTGTCACAATGGAGAAAAAACCGAATGCAACAGATTGCGCTGACCATAGAACGCTGAGTCTTATTCCTCACGCCTCAAAGATAATGCTAAAAGCACTGACGAAGAGATTAGAAGCAAAGGCCAGTTATCTCATTGGTAAAACTCAGTTTGGTTTTAGAAGAGGATGTGGCACGAGGGAAGCGATCGGAATAATGCGAATGCTATATGAGAGATGCCTAGAGCATGACATGGATGTTTATGTGTGCTTTGTGGACTTCGAGAAGGCTTTTGATAGAGTAAACTGGAAGAAATTGATGGAAATACTGAAGAAAATCGGAGTGGATTGGAAGGATAGGCGGCTTATTA